CTTCCGATCTCCATCATCCATCCATCCATCCATCATCCATCCATCATCCATCCATCCATCCATCCATCCATCCATCCATCCATCATCCATCCATCATCCATCCATCCATCCATCCATCCATCCATCCATCATCCATCCATCCATCCATCCCCCTCCCCACACCCCACTCAGCCGAGTGGTTTCTGGATGATTTGGGGGGGCTGCATCCCATTTACAAGTCCCCATGGATTTTCCCCCCCCGCCAGACAAATCCACCTCTCCCCAGTCCATCTTCCAAACCATCTTGGGCTCAGCCCTGGGACCACTCACGGAGCAACCTCGACCCTTGGGATGAGAGTTTCCCCCAGCCTGGGGTGGGAGCCAAGCCTTGGGGACCCCCAACCCACCCCCACCACGAGGAGGGTCCTCAAGCCCCCGTTCCCGGAGCAGCCCCTGGTGCCGCCGGCACGTGCTGGGCGCTCCAGGAGCGTCTCCCTCACGCTACGCCTCCCCTCGCGTGTCTTTTGCCATCTGCTGCTGTCATTAAAAAATTAAATTTCCATCTGCTTTCACACTCCCGCCTCTCCCGCCGGCTCCGGGTGCCGCCGCTCTCCGGGAAGCGTCGCCCCCGGCTCCCTCCCGGGATGCGGCCGATCCGGCGGGATGCAGGTGACGCCGCCGAGTTCATTTTCCCGGTGCTGTTTGCTGAAATGGATTCTTCAATCCCTGCCGGGGAGGTGGGGGCCCCACTTTTGGCCACCCACGGGCAGCAGGGCGGCTCCGGGGGGTGTGCTGGGGTGTTTAGTGGGGCACAACCCACACCCCATGCGCTGACACAGCCGAACGGGGGGTGCGGAGCCGCAGGGGTTTTATTCACCGTGGGGGGATCCCCCTCCCCGGCGCTGTTAGGAAAAGGGACAAACCCCAATCCCTGGCGTCCAAACCCCCCGTGTGTCCCTGCGAGCGGCAGCCGCGCCCTGCAGGCTGTGGCTCCATCCCGACGGAGCGGGGCCGGGTCCTGGCGGCCCGGCTGTCCCCCCGTGTCCCCTCTCAGCACTGGCTGCAGGGTGCCGGGCCCTCCCCGCGCCGCCCCTCGCGGGACAGCGCCGTGCCCGTGGGCGTGGGGGGTGTGACGATGATGGAGGGCACGAGCAGATGCTTCTGTCCCGAGGATGCTCTCGGGGCGCCGTCGCTGCCGTTCCCGCTGCTCACACACATCTTCAAGCCTGGGGGAATTTGGGGGGATGAAAGGAGATTCAGGCACCGGGCTGCAGCATCGCCCAGCTCCCCGCCCTCCTTGGCATCGGCTCTTTACGAGCCCCCGGAGAATCCACAGCGTCCTCACGTCCCCTCCCTTAGATCCACCTTGGATTTTGGGGGGGTTCATAGGTGGATCCCTCCCTCTCACTCCCACCTGCCCAGCCCAGCCCCCCTGAGGGGAGCAGATCGCTTTAATCTGCTTTTTTAATCAGGAGAAAAGCCCCGTGCGGCACAGGCGGCATCCAGGGAGGTTTCAGCTCTTCCCAAGCAGGAAAATGCCCGGAGGGGACAGACACTGATATTTTTAATCTCTTTTTAATTAAGGATAAAGCCCTGCCTTATGTAAGGGAGCTGGAAAAGGGGGAGGGTCTTTTCTTTTATTCCAGACTCCAAGCTCGTCAGAGGGGTCTGGAAGCATGGGGGAATATTTTGGGGCTCTGTCCTGGATTTGGGGCAGGGTTGGGATGCCCTGGCTGCTTGCTTCCCCTCTTCAGTTACCCCCTGTTGGATGGGGGGGATTGTGAGACCCCAAACCCACCTGACCACTCCCTCCCAACATCCCTAATGCAGAGAGGAGGCAAATCCTCCTCCTCCAAAAAAAAAAGAGATGCATCCAACTCTGTGCCCATCCCAACCAGAATCCCACAGAAGCTGGGCTTGGGAAAAGCCAGGGAAGATGCAGCCCTGCACCCTAGAGAGGGATCCTCATTAAGCCCCATCCCTAACGACCCCAAGGGCGATTACCAGGAGTCAGAGGGATGCAGAGCTAATGGGAGATGCGATATCCAGCCTTCGCCCTGCGAGGCCAGCAGCATTAAAAGCTCCCGCTTTGCCTCTGTGCAGACATCCCTGACGCCATTCCCAGCCTAAATCCATTAAGAAAATTAAAGTTGGGGAAGAAGCTCCTGGTTGGAGCATCCCTGGGGAGAGTGGAGCAGTGAGGGATGCTTGGGGTCAGCCTGGAGGCCGGGAGCTGAGCTCTGGGCTGACCCCTCCATCCCATCCACCTGTCCCTGAGCAGCCCTTTCCTGCCTCTGGGGAAACCCACCTGATTTCATGAGGGCTGCCCATGGATTCTCCGGTGGAAAGGGTGTAGGACAAGCACAGGACTGGGAAAATAAGGCTGGGAAAATCCTCTTTGGGATGATCCAAGTGCAACAGGTCACCCGTGGGCCTTCAGAAATTCCACCACATTCCCAAACTCCACCAGTCCCACCCACACCTAAATCTGCTCCAGGTACAACCATCCCTCAGATGCCTTCAGAGAGCAGCAGCACCCCAAGCCCCATCCCAAGCTCACCTTTCAGGCAGGATAACTTGAGCCCCATGTTTTCATCCTCTCAGCGGGATCCAGCTCTCCAGCTCCGCCGCCGGCCCTCGCCGCTGGCGCTGGGAAAAGAGAGGTGAGGGTTGAGGGAAGCGATGCTGGGAGGGAGGAAGGAGCAGGAGCTAAAAGCTCACATCTCTCCATGCGTGTCTGTGTCTACAGGAGCCCGGGCACCACAGGAAACGCGGCTGCTCGCTCGCAAAACCACCAGTGATGTCACGGCACTCCAGTGACTCAACCTGCTCTGATGAGGTTCAGGAAGAACTTTTTAGGGGGGGTGGAGAAGGAGCCTGGTGCTGGCTGAGGGGGTCCCATCCCAGCTTCTCCACTCCTGGAGTCCAGGCTGAAAATGTTTTGGGATGAGAAGGTTGTGAGCAGGAGGAATTGGGTTGGTTTTAGGTTGGTTCTTGCAGAGAAAATCCCGAGTCCACACACGGGAAACAGAGGGATGTTCCCAGCACTGCCTCCCTCGGGCTGAGACGGGATGCACTGCTGGAATTCACATCATCCTGCTCCTCTTGGGCATCCCTGATGTCTCGAGAGCTTTTGGATGGATGATTCCCACTGTGGGACATCGTTTTTTCAAGATGCTGAATTTTTTTTCTGCAAAAGAAGTCCCTTTATTGGGAAATCTTCACTCCTCCTCCCACAACTGCTGGGAAAAGCTTATTGGGATGAGGGTCAGTGACTCATTTTGGCTCTTCCAAGCTCCGGGCCACACAAAGAGCCAAGGAAAGCCTCTGCTCCCCCTGCCTGACCTCTGCATTTCCAAGAAGCCCTGAGGTGGCTCGGCAGCAGCCAGCAAGGGGAAGTGAAAATTTGCTCTCTCTGCTTTTAATTTTGTATTTTTATCAGTTCCCCAGGGGCAGCCCGAGCTGTGACCATTCCCTCAGGGCTGGGGAGTGGAGTCCTCCCCAGGCCCTCACTTTGCAGCTCGCCTGGAGGCTGCCCAAATATCAAGAAATCTGTTTTGAGGCAAATCCTGTGGGTTTTGGCACCTGCTGGTGGCTCACACCACTCAGGGAGAGAGGAGGGTCACTCTAGGGACACCCAGCTCCGTGCACAGGGGGTCTGATCCTCTGGGATCTGATCCTCTGGGATCACCCCCTGTACCCAAACCCTCGCAGGACACAGCAGCCCCCTCCCCACGGCTGAGGGCCAGATTCCAGCTCCAGAATTTGGGCAGAATTCCCCGCTGTGAGCATTCCAGCGGGATTCCCGCTGCTCGCTGCTCCAACTTCGCTGCCGTGTGCCAGCACCAGGCCAAAGAAATGTTTGCATCCCCACGAGTTCACGCTCCAAAAAGCCCCAGACACTCCCGGCAGGCGTCACTGGAGCGGGGAGCGACCCGCCGGGGCACGGGGGACACTCACAGGGGGCGCTGGGAAGGGGATAAAGGGAGCAAGCCGGGGCTCCGAGGGGTGCCACTTACCCGGTGCGCGGAGGGGCGATGCCCGCGGTCGCATCCCACCTCGCAGCGCTCCTGGATGCCGGAGGCTGGCAGCGGGGATGCCCTCAGCAGCAGGGCTGCAGGAGGTGCCAGCCGGCCGGCTTTGGGTTTGGCGAGCTCGGTTGGGAAGCTGGCTAATGAGGTTAGCGGAGCCCCGGCTCCTCCCAGCCAACCTCCGAGCCCAGCCGTGCCCGGCAGAGCTCCTGGGTGATGAGGAAACGCTGCTTTCCTCTCACCCCGCTGCACAAGCCAGTCCAGAGCCGACAGAGAGAGGGAGGAAGGAGTGCCCTGAGCTGGAGGCAAAGCCCTCGGGCATCCAACATCCCTACAAGCAGCCTGAGGGCTACCAAGTGCCCGGCGAGGGCCAGCGAGTGTGCACCCCCAGCTCTGGCAGTACCTATCGGCATCCCTGGGGTCCCGATGTCAACAGACATCAACCTCTGGGAGCCGCTCCACCTTGGGCAGCTTCAGGAAGGATCTTTTCCCCTTCCCAGCCCCAAACCCAGCCTGGAAGAGCAGCAGGAGGCAGCGGGTTCCTCACCATTCCCAGGATGAGCGCTCCGGGTCGGGTCCCACCCCGCTGGGAGGATGCCCGAGAGAAGGCTGAGCCTCCGGAACAGCCGCCTTCGCCTGCATTAGCAGCAGCCAGAGGCTTTTCCATGTTCCCCCTCCTCCGCAATTAAGAGGCTCCTTTTCAGGCGGTTCCAAGGCAGGGCGCCGGCCCGCGGGGAACGCCGGCCGCACATTAAACACCCCCGGGCTGCGGGAGGCAGGGGAGGGGAGGAAAACTTGGAACTTCACCCGGGCATCGGCAGAGAAGCGATCCCAGGAGTTTGGGAGGTCTCCGATGGGATCAGAGCCCCACCAAGGCCGGCTGGGATGGGCATGAGGGGCGGCAGGGAGAGGAAACGGGCGGTTGTGCTCCGCTTTCTGCTGGTTTGGTCCTGCCATGTCTGATGAAAATCAGAAATCTGGGGAGAGCTGATTTCCTTCCCGATCTGACTCCTCCGATTTGTCAAACAACTGAGTTATTGCAGAGCTCCAGGAGAGGGGAGGGGGGCCCAGGGGCAAGGCTGCAGCCCCAGCTGCAGGCACAGTCCTGGGCAGAGGCTGCAACCCACAGCTCCTTTTTCCCCCCCGGAAAACAGACAAATTAATTGGTTTATGTGGACTTTTTTCCCCGTTCAGCTGTAAAGTTTAAGAGTTAGAGACAAGCCCTGAAACAGAGCCTGGCAAACCTGATCCTTCAAGATCCCATCCCAAACCCAGAGCTCGCAGCATCCCACGGAGCCAAGGATCGCTCCCGGGCAGCACAAATCCAGTCAGAGCAGCACAAATCCTGCCTCCACCTTGAGCTATTTTACTGCCTGTCTCCAAAACTACCTGTGTGCTGCTGCTGGGTGAGAACAAACAGCCCCAAACCCACGAGGGCTGGAATTAGCCTGGCCTGGAGCAGCAGCTGTTGCTACAACAGTGACAGAAAGTGATTGTCTTGCTGCAGCAAGGGGTGGGAAACATAAACACCAGGCTGCTAAAATACCTGTGGTTAGTTCTGCGGGTGCAGCACAGCTCCAGCTGCTCTGCTGACACCTGATAGGCACAAACACAGCGTCAAACACCCCTTCCTGCCCTAGACAGGGCTGGCAAGTGATGAAAAACCTTTGTTAAGGTTTAGAAAGGGGGGCTTGCCCATCTTGAGGTGACTGGGAATGGCTTGGAGCCCCTCTGGTCACTGCTGGGTGAGCAGGGTTAGGGAGTGCCAGGAACAGGAGCAGCCCAGTGGGCTCAGCACCCCCTTCCCAGGGTCACATCCCTCCCAGGAGTTCCTGGTTCCTGTCACAAGGCTCTGAGCTGTGCCTTGCTAAGCATCACGTCAGGGCAAGTGGCCAAAACTCACCAAGAGCTGGCCAGGGGAGGAAGAGGATGGGCTCAGGGGGTGGGTGGGTATGGAGCCACCTTCTCTCCCTGGGGAAGATTGTCCTTCCAGAGCTGGCCAGCACCTGGCTGTCCCCGAGGTGGTCACTGGCTGCTTTCCAGGCCTGGCTGTGTCCCTTTGGTAGCAGGGCTGCTCCTCTCCCGGTGCTTCCCAACCCTCCTGCTCCATCCTGCCCCGGCACTGAAGCCCTGGTGGGGGGTGAGGATGGAGGACAGCCTCCCAAATTCCCTCTGGGGGAAGGGCAGGGAGAGCTGATTCTTCCCAGGCGCCAGAGGAACCGCAAGGACAAGGGACGTGTTGTGCAAACACTGGCCACAAGAAAAGCTTTGGCTGGAGAGCCCGGAGCGGCTCTGCTGGCTCCCTTCAGGAGCTGCTCCTGCAAACACCAGCTGGGCTCCCCTTTCAGCAGGGAGGGGGAGGAAGCAGCTTTCTGGGTCACAGAGTGCCAGGGTCTGCTAACGCAGGTGACACGTCACCCTGGCTCTGTGCTAACGGAGCCACCAGGCCACCTGTCCCCTCCTGCCCCCGTCCCTTCTGGCCCGGGAGGGGGAAAGGGCTGCTCCCAGCCTGGCTCGGGAGCTGCCCCAGAAACGGGCTGCAGGGTTCTGCCCTGCCAGAGCTGGAAGTGGCAACCGGGAGCAACTGGGAGCGGAGAAGAAAGTCCCTCCCGGAGATCCAGAGTCATCCAGGGCTGGCCAGCCGTACCCGGAGGGGATGCCAGGCGTGGGGAGGGAGGAGGATGTCACGAGGAGGCAGCTGAAGATGCAGGCTCCGGGGAAACTGGAGCAGCTCCAGCACTCCCCGAGCACGGGCTCTTGGCAGGACCGGCAGAGTGAGCAACCGGCAGGAACCGCGTGGGCTGGAAGCACCCCGGGAGAAAAGCCAGGGATGAGACGGGAGCTGCTGCGGAGGGGGTCGGGAGCGAAGCGGGGAGCGAGCACGTACCTGAGGCACACACCTCCTGCATCCAGAACAAAGCTCCTCTCTCCCGGCATGGATTCAGCCGGGAGGCCACGGCCGGGAATTGCCTTAGGGACCTGGCCAGGGCCGCCGCGCTTCCCGGCTCGCACAGCTCCGGCTCAATCTGGGCCCAGCTTTCCCTTTTATCCCCTGCTGCTAAAACCTCGACAGAGTTTCTCAATGAGGTCCATCTTTTAAGCTCCAGGGTGCATTTCTAGGAAGGGCTGCGGCGTTTCCCCGGGGCTGTGCTCGGTGCGCAGAGCGGGCCGTGCCTGGCACGGATCCTGCCCGCATCCCGCTGAAGCGCTGCAGCCGGAGCGGCGCCCAGAGTGACCCCGCACCCCCAGCCCACCTACCGGCTGCTTTTAAGAGCAGAATTCCCTGCTTTCCTCATCCCAGCTCTGGCAGGATGGAAGTGCCACACGCTGGAGCGCTGTCCCCCCTGCCAGCCCCCCGTCTCCGTCCTCTCCGAATCTGCCTCTGCCGCCTTCCACGGGAAAGCAAAAGGAAGGGATGCAGCTGGGGTGGACTTTCAGAGGAGAAGGCTGGGTGAAAATGTGGTCTAAAAGCGACAGTGGGAAAAAAAAAAAAAAAAGGGGAAATCGATAAAGTCCTCAGCGGATCCTTGGGCACACAGAAAGCGCTGCCGGCTGCGGGAGGGCTGGGTCAGGGCGCTGGGGGAAGCAAGGAGGGGGTTGTGGTGAAGGACTGGGGTGAGTGGAGGTGTTTAAATCCAGCTGGGAATAGCAGAGGCTGGGCAGGATGGGAGGGGAGCAGCCCAACAGGGACCAGCTCGTGTGGGTGCCCCGGCTGGGCTGCAGGAGCTGAATTCCACCCGAGGGAGAAGCAGAGCTCACAAACCGAGCACATTTCCCCTCGAGACCATTTCCCAGGCTGCGCTCAGCCGCAAGCCCACCCCACTACCAGCCTCCTCCATTAGCATTAGCATTAGCCTGGCTCTCCCTGGCACTGCCCTCCTCCCCCGGCATCTCCAGACGCCTCCCAGATCGCGGAGTGCAGCGATGAGGCCCGCAGCCAGGGAGCATCTGTCACTGTCACCTCTCCTTCTCGCAGAAGGAATTCTTGGGGGCAGGAGGCCGCCCCTCACGGCTGGGGTGGGCTCTGCACATCTGTCTGCTGCTGGCTCCAGCTGTGCCAGGTGATCTCTGAACCGCTCACCTGCTCCCGCATCCACAGCAGCTCCCGGAGCTGGAGCTGTTACAGCTCTGCTCGCTTTCCTCGGGGAAGGAACATCCCAGGAGCAGATGGGAAGAGGGAAAATGCCAGCAGCAGGCTGCTCCACTTGCTGGATGGGGAAAAAACTTTCCCAAAAATCATATGTGCACACGGAGTGATGTGCTCAGGGAGAATGTGGGACCTGGCACTCCCTGGGAACAGGGACCTCACTTGTGAGTGTCCCAGGAACAGCTGATCAGGGATTCCGTGGCTCCTGTCACCCATCTGCTTTGTGGGGATGTTTCATCACTGTTCTGAAAAATTGGATTGAGTGGGGAAAAGAGAATCCCACAGGCTGGGAGAGCTGGAGGTGTTCACTTGGGGAAGAGAAGGATCCGGGCAGAGCTCAGAGCCCCTTCCAGGACCTAAAGGGGCTCCAGGAGAGCTGGAGAGGGACTGGGAGGAGGGACAGGACACAGGGAATGGCTCCCACTGCCAGAGGGCAGGGATGGATGAGATACTGGGCAGGAATTGTTCCTTGTGAGGGTGGGCAGGCCCTGGCACAGGTGCCCAGAGCAGCTCTGGCTGTCCCTGGATCCCTGGAAGTGCCCAAAGCCAGGCTGGACAGGGCTTGGAGCACCCTGGGATAGCAGAAGGTGTCCCTGCCATGGCAGCGGGGTGGAATGGGATGATTTTAAGATCCCTTCCCACCCAAACCATTCAGGGATTCTTTTTTCCAAGTGCTTCAGGTCGTGTGGATGAGGTAAAAAGTTGGGAGTTAAAACATCTGGGCAGGCAAATG